TTCCTTCCTTCCTTCCTTCCTTCCTTCCTTCCTTCCTTCCTTCCTTCCTTCCTTCCTTCCTTCCTTCCTTCCCTTTTTCCCTTGCCTACTTTTTGAAGCTAGACATTGAACAGAAGAAAAGAAAGACTGTCCACTTACCATCCAGGGCACTCTGAAATGAACAAACGCTGAAATCAAGGAAGAGTAAAGCACCCTTAAATCTGAAACATCGGATCCCAGCTCTCCGAACGGGAGCCAAAGCAGACAGCCAGGCATGCAACGGAGAGACCTGCTCCGTTTCGTTTTCTCCTCTTAAGTGTAGCCCGGAGAGCAAAGTTAGGTGCTGGGTAGGGCACAGTCTCTGGGAACCAAATAATGCAAAAATAAATCAGACTCCAACTTCTCGTCTTTCTTCAGTTTTGTCAAATGCCTCTGCAAAGAGCGTTGGCCGAGCGCCCTGATTCGGCTGGGAAATTTATGAAGTGATAAAAAAGCTGCTGAATATTTAAGCCCGGCCATGCGCTTGCAATAATGGTTTTTATCTGGAAATGTGTGCTCTTTTGCTTTTAAGCAGATCTACCCCACCCCCTCGGTGAAAGATAAGAAAAAGGGGCAAATAAACTTTAATTTAGAAGCAAAAGACCAAATGCACGAAAAGACCAGCAAACTCTGAAAAAAAAAACCCCACGTTTCTAGCTGTTCATCCTGTATGCCAAGGGAAGAATGACTTCATGGATCTGCTGGGAGAATGCTCTGTGACTCTTGTTCTATAATAATAATAAAAAAAAAGTTGGAAGGGACCTTGGAGGTCATCTAGTCCAACGCACTGCTCGGGCAGGAAACCCTATGCCATTTCAAACAAATGGCTGTCCAGTTTCTTCTTAAAGACTTCCAGTGTTGGTGCATTCACAGCTTCTGGAGGCAGGTTGTTCCACTGGTTAATTGTTCTCACTGTCGGGAAGTTTCTCCTTAGTTCTAGGTTGCTTCTCTCCTTGGTTAGTTTCCACCCGTTGCTTCTTGTCCTGCCTTCAGGTGCTTTGGAGAATAGCTTGACTCCCTCTTCTTTGTGGCAAACCCTGAGATATTGGAAGGCTGCTATCATGTCCCCCCTCACCCTTCTCTTCATTAAACTAGACATACCCAATGCCAGCAACCGTTCCTTGTAAGTTTTAGCCTCCAGTCCCCTAATCATCTTTGTTGCTCTTCTCTGCACTTTTTCTAGAGTCTCAACAGGACTGGCTGAGGAATTCTGGGAGTTGAAGTCCACAAGTCATAAAAGGGCCAAGTTTGAAGACCCCTGCTTTACACCGTCCCAGTCAAGTATTTGTCCAGTTTCTTCTGAAAAACTTCATGATGGAGCACGCCCAATTCCAAAAGGCAAGCTATTCCATTGATTAATTGCTCTCATTGTCAGAAAATTTCTCCTTACGTCTACATTGGATCCCCACCCATTACTTCTTGTCCTACCCTCTGGTATCCTAGAGAATAAGTCAACCCCTTCTTCTCTATGACATCCCTTCAAGTACTGGAAGACAGATACCACGTCCACTAATCCTTCTCTTTGATAGACCAGACATACTTAGCTCCATCGATCAATCATCATACGATTTAGCCTCCAGACTCTTTATCATCTTTATTGCTCTTCTCTGCACACTTTCCGGGGTCTTCACATGTTTTTTTTTTGTGTGTGTGTTATGGTTAGGCTAACCATGGCTAAATATGCCACAAGGAAACCAAGAACATCTGAATGGAACTTCTGGACCCTGCAATTTTCTGCTTAATGACTCAATAAGCAATCAGAATTGGTTCTAAATTCAAGGGGACTAGCTTGATCAAACAAAGCCAACCTTTGTTTGAAACCATGTTTAGGATTTTGCGGCAGTCTTCAGCAGCAACAGCAGGAACCCATTGCGTATGTGTCTGTGTGCACACATTTGACAAAGTCTCCGTTATCAGGATGGGAAAGGAGAGACTGAGAAAATGCGTATTCTTCTTGAGAATGTGAGATGGTTCCCATCGCTGGACCATTCTCAGTAACATGGCCACACTTAGAATACTGCATCCAGTTTTGGTCAACATGATGTAAAAAAGATGCTGAGACTAGAAGGAGTGCAGAGAAGAGCAACAAAGATGATCAGGGGACTGGAGGCTAAAACACAGGAAGAAAGGTTGCTGGAATTGGGTATGTCTAGTTTAATGAGGAGAAGGACAAGGGGGGACAGGATAGCAGTGTTCCAATATCTCAGGGGTTGCCACAAAGAAAAGGGAGTCAAGCTATTCTCCAAAGCGCCTGAAGGCAGGACAAGAAGCAATGGATGGAAACTGATCAAGGAGAGAAACAACCTAGAACTAAGGAGAAACTTCCTGATGGTTAGAACAATTAACTAGTGGAACAACCTGCCTCCAGAAACGATGAATGCTCCAACACTGGTAGTCTTTAAGAAGAGACTGGACAGCCATTTGTCCAAAATGGTATAGGGTTTCTTGCCTGAGCAGGGGGTTGGATTAGATGACCTCCAAGGTCCCTTCCAACTTTATTATTATTATTATTATTATTATTATTATTATTATTATTATTATTATTATTATTATTATTATTATTATTATTATTATTATTATTATTATTAAGACTGTCACTCAATCACAACCATTGTCTATAACTTAACATGACGTGGAACTGGTCAACAAAACATGGTTAACCCACACTTACGTGATACATGGATGTGTCAGAGCACACACAGTCTTATTGCGCTGAGGTAACCCAGGAGTAAATACAGTAAACAGTGGTTTGTAATTAAATAATGGTTTATATTACACTACACCTACAAATATACACTAGAAATAAGATACATACACGTGGTGGAACAGCAAACTCTAATACACAGCAGTTACAGCAGTCAAACGGATGAGAGAGAAAGACTCCAGCAAAAAAACCTTCCCTTTTATACTCAGGCTCTTAAAGGGATACACACACCTGCTGAGTCATTCCTATACTGCATCCTCCACATTAGCTTACATCTTTACACAAGCTGTTTAGCTTTTAAATCATTAAACCTTGACAGGATGCAACCTCGGTCTTGTATTCATTTAAATACTGAGTTGCAGCCATATACTGTGTGCTAAGGATGTGTTTATTGCCAGATGCATGAGTATCTGGTCTCATGAGTCACAGGAGAGGACGATCTTGGCCAAGGGTGTCCAAACCTGGCAACTTTAAGACTTGTAGATGTCATGGTTCCGACAGATGAAACTCTTCAAAGAACTTCGAGGCATTGTTTACCTTAAAGAATCTTTATTCAAGTTGCATGGCATCCGCACGTAGGAAGCGGAAATCTGGATTCCCCTCCCCTGAGCACCTAGTATCAAAGCACAATTCCCTCCTCCAATTAACAATCATAAATCACATTCTCCAATTAGTTTGAATTGCAGGCTTTCCTTCCTGATCTCTAACCCGCCAATTCTTATTAGCTCTTATTTCAAGCTCTGAATTCACACAGGAGTACAATAATTGTTATGTCTAACTAACTCCCACCACATCCCTCCCCCTCCCACAGCATCATCTAATTCTAAGAGTAAAGTATAAGAAAGAAAAAGGCTGCATCTTCATATGTTGTCAATGCAAGAACATCCAATGTTAGCAGCGTTGGCTGAGGAACTCTGGGAGTTGAAGTCCACAGGTCTTCAAGTTGCCAAGTGTGAAGACCCTTGGTCTCAGCTGAGCTCAAAAAATGTTTAGGAAGGCCAAACGTGGTTACTCCATGGGTGGGAGACCGGCAGGAACAATAGGTTGGGAAGTTGAACAAGCCATTGCAGAAGAAGGCCGTGGGATTCTGTATTGTGGCTAAGGAATGTACCTGGGGCTTGAGCCACCAGATGTGGATCTCAACTCAAGTGAGTTTCCGGATAGTAGCGAGCGAGAGAATTCCCATGCATGGAGAAATGAACTGGCCCCAGCAACAGAGACCAAACAAGGACAGATCGAGTTGGCTCCAGACGCAGAGACATTTGATAAATACATCTGCCCTGGTTCAGTACACTACACAGCTTTTGCTCTTCACTACTTGAGATTGCTTGCAAAAGGCTGACATCCATTAAGAGGAAGAAGAGCTTGTGGGCTCCTAGGAGCAGTTCGACCCAAGACTCCCTGTTGAAGCATTGCTACTTCCAGACACCAGACAACGATCTGACTGTTCACCAAAAATTTAAGAAGTATTAGATAGAATCAAGATCACGTGAAGTGTTAATACCACTTTACAATGCCTTGGTAAGGCCACACTTCGAATACTGCATCCAGTTTTGGACACCGCGATGTAAAAAAGATGTTGAGACTCTAGAAAGAGTGCAGAGAAGAGCAACAAAGATGATTAGGGGACTGGAGGCTAAAGCATATAAGGAACGGTTGCTGGAATTGGGTATGTCTAGTTTAACGATGAGAAGGACGAGAGGGGACAGGATAGCAGTGTTCCAATATTTCAGGGGCTGCCCCAAAGAAGAGGGAGTCAAGCTATTCTCCAAAGCACCTGAAGGCAGGACAAGAAGCAATGGATGGAAACGCATCAATGAGAGAAGCAACCTAGAACTAAGGAGAAACTTCCTGACAGTTAGAACAATTAACCAGTGGAACAACCTGCCTCCAGAAGCAGTGAATTCTGTAACACTGGAGGTTTTTAAGAAGAGACTGGACAGCCATTTGTCCGAAATGTATAGGGTTTCCTGCCTGAGCAGGAGGTTGGACTAGATGACCTCCAAGGTCCCTTCCAACTTTACTATTATTATTATTATTATTAGTAGTAGTAGTAGTACCGCTTTATAAAACCCTAGTAAGACCACACCTGGAATACTGCAGCCAACTTTTCTCACCATATCATAAAAAGGATGTTGAGAGTTTGGAAAAAATTCAGAGAAGAGCAACGAGGATGATCAAAGGCCTGGAGACTAAAACGTACAAAGAACGGCTGCAGGACTTGGGTTTGGCTAGTCTAAAGAAAAGAAGGAATAGAGGAGACATGTTAGCAGTTATTCCAGTATCTGAGAGGCTGCCACAAAGACGAGGGGGTCACGTTATTCACCAAAGCACCAGAGGGAAGGACGAGAAGCAATGGTTGGAAACTGATCAAAGAGAGAAGCAACCTGCTGCAAAGAGGGGTGAAACCCCCTCCCTCAATTGCTGTA